TGATGTATTTTGTCTTACTAATAATGTGAGATGTGAGAGGCAGAGGAGTCAGTTCACAGAAGTCATAAGCACAGATCAATATTATTCTCAGCAGGGCCTACATCACACAACTTGATCTTAGGGTTGTGTTTTTTCTCCATGTACAACATAGATATTGGGAATTTGCAGTTTCTTTCAAAGCCTTTTAAATCCTAGGTTTTGAGAAGGAGTTAAGATAAAGTCCTTTTATTCCTGAAATCACATTGTCTTACACCTCTGCTAAAGATCCTTTCACTCTTCGTGTACCGCAGAAAAGGTGTCTTTCTGGTTCGCTTTATCTCAAGCTAGTTTTGTTCTTACTCTCATATGCTTCAGTAGTTCTAGTGGATAGGTCAGCTGGAGGAGCAAAATCCCTAACTAGAAAGCAAGAAATTCAGAATAACTCCCAGAAAATATTGTAAATGCAATTTCCTCCTCTTCCTAAAAACTGGCAGAGGTAGCCAGAGACTGCATTAGTTTTCAGGTGTAGCAGTCTGTGTTAAATTTTGTAGCACTCTCTCAGCCAGATGGTCTGTTGAAATCTCATCTTCCTGCCTGTCTGACTCATTTTCCATGCAAATGATATTACTGTGGGGAATTTAAGGCATTAGGAGGCAATATTATCAACCCATACGTACATATGCATGTATATATATGTATATATGTCTATGTGTATGTTCGTATAAACCCGGTACTAATTTCCTTTCAATGACTTGTGCAGATCTGAATGAATGTGGCCTGAAACCCCGTCCCTGTGAGCACAGATGTATGAACACCCATGGCAGCTACAAGTGCTACTGTCTTAACGGGTACATGCTTATGCCAGATGGCAAATGTGCAAGTAAGTAACACAACTGATAGGACAGGAACACCAAAGTCACCATATTTGCATCAGATCGCAGCAGAGTTTCTCCTCTAGTTTATTTAAGGTATGCCTCAGCAGCCTGATTCCATCACTGCCTGAGAGGACTTTCGCATTTGGCAGTATATACAGACAAAGCAAACTAGGTCAGAGTTGTATTTTTAGTGTTCGGAGAGATTTTTGTCCTATGGAAATAAAAGCCTTTTTTGTCAGTTCAAAGGAAGGACAACTTGTACAACCTTGGTGCCTGTCCTGCCAGTTCATCTGTCTGAGTAAGGTGAATGAACCTTTACAAACAAAGCACCAGTTCAGTCTGCACTTTCCTGTGATGAAATTTATCCTATTGCTCCTTGCTTTCTGCTTAGTTTAACTTTGAGTGCTGATATTCTTCCCACAGTTGCCATCAGCTGCTTACACACAATTTTCTACTCAACTGAGGCTTATCGAAGCTGTATTTCTACCAATTTTCCTTGTCCTAAGCCAGCATGTGATGGAAAGCATTCTGTTTTCATGAACAACACATTTTTTCACACCTGAGGAAGCTTCTTATCTTTCAATAACAGTTTGGTTGGGGGGAAAAATTATGTTCTGGTTCCAAAGAACTTTAACTATGATTATGAAATGAAATAGTAAATTATTTACCCAAGTAGGAATTATTCTTGCTAAAGTCTCCTAAATCATCATCAAGCAAGATAGAAGGCTAAGTCTGTACTCAGATGAAATACTTAACTAACTGTAAAATTCTCATTATTTTATTCAAACAAGTATGTTGAGGAGAACGTTGCTCCTCTTGCCTCAAATCCTCAGATGTAAATCTCCCTAACAATACGGAGACCACCTAGTTTAAGCAGTTAACATTACTGCAACTATATATATACCTGCACATGCCATCTTGTCTATAACGCACATTATTACACATAATTCTGAAAGTGGAGGTGCTTCTAACATGTTCTTCTTAAAACGAAATTAATATTTTCTTTTAAGACGCAAGACAGTGTTCAAGATTTTGCAGTTTGTTTCTGTTGTTTCAGGTTTTTCGCTTGCAAAGACCTATGCAAATTTTTCTTTCCCTGAACACAAGTAGGGGGAAGTAGCAAATTTATTTCTTTGCTCGTGCTTCCATCTCTTTAGATAAAGACTTCCAAACTTCTCCTCTCCCTAGCATCGTACTACTGATGCTTTCTGGGTATCTTCAGGGGTTTAGAAATGTGCCTCTACGTATTTATGATACCTCTGCTTTTCTAGTGTAACACTTCTCACAGACAAGATCTAGAGCCCCATGATTCTATTTAGAGGTTAGTCCGAGCCTTCTGCAATAACTCACACTCTTAACTAATACATGGCAAACAAAACCTGTGTTCGGGCTGGTGGCTTTTTATTTGCAAATATGCCTTCCATAAAGGAGCTTCATACTTATTTTAGAGTAAAGGGCACTTTGTAGGTTCATCAGACGAAAAAATGTTTATACTAGATAATAATAATTTTTATACTAGAGCCATGCTCAATGTAAAACAGTAAGTTTTCTGTCTGGCAAAACTGTAGCCTATAACAAATGGAAAAAGACCTTTTCTTCTACATTGAACGCTTCTGTCTCCTTGAATCTGAAAAACACCGGTAAGAAAACACAGAACTGGGAGCAGAGAAAAAGGAGGAATAAGAGCAGGAAAGAAAAGATCACAATCAAAGGGTGGGAAGGAGATTTAAGAACTGTCTCAAGGACTGCTGAATTGTATTGTTAAACATGTTTTATGTATGAACAACTTGATTAATGGATGTTGAGAATGATGAACAGAATTCTGTTTTTCTGATGAATTTTCTGCATTCATCCAAGTCTAATTTAATAATAAAACTCGTGTCACCCCAACCTAGACTCTTTCTTTTTTTCTGTTTTTTTTAATACTGTTTTCAGGTTCCAGGACATGTGCCGTAGTAAACTGCCAATATGGATGTGAAGAAGTCCAAGACGAGGTGCAGTGTCTTTGTCCATCAGGTGGCCTTCAATTGGGACCAAATGGGAGAACATGCATTGGTATGATTGGAAAGTTCACTGTCTGCTGCTTTTCTGTAGGATGCCAAAAAGTATGTGGAGAGGTTAATAAATAACTAGGCATCCTCTCCGGCATGAATAGCTACACCACTTAAGATGCTGCTTACCAGTACTTTTTGGTTGAATTAATTATACAGCTTAATGAATATTTTACTTGTTGAGAGGTTTAACATGTCATACAGTAAATGAATTTTAGCTCTAATAGTTGAAATGATATTATGTCTAACATTTCAGATAACAGATTAAATAAATACATCAACCAAGAGACACTGCTGTCTAAAAGGGCAGTCACATTTGAGTTGTTCTCCATAATGCACAGCTGCAATAGCAAGATGTGTATCAATTTCATAAAGTCTGAGAGTGTTTTAACACTTTCAGGAGTTAAAGAGTAAACCCATATGGATACCTGGCTCTGCATTCAAACTATAAAGAACATTGTTCCTTTCTTTCAAATGAAAAATGTTTATAATGGGGAATGTCCTGCTCTAAGCAATCAGCAAAGCTCTCAGGATACTGCCAAACATAGATAGCATTTCTTTGAATTATTTAAGAGCTATTTGAATGGGAACATTATGGTAGTATGTACTCATATGCAGCAGATGAGTGCTTCTCTTAAATCTTCCCCTGAGTTCTTCAGGCACCTATTTTTTTTCCCTTGTATTTTGTTAATTTGTATTTACCTTGCCTGCTCAAATGGATTTGGAAGAATATTGATAAAAATTTTGTGAGGTAAAATAGACATAAAGGATTGTCTAGTGGCTGGAAATGTCAAACCTCTCCTTCCTGCATAACTTTTGGTAGGTCACCTTTATTTTTATTTTTTTTTTTGTAACCAACTCTCCATTTCTAAAATGGAAGGGATAGCAACTTCCTGTCATGATGATAGATGCTTAAAAGATTGTAAAGTACTCTGAGGTATTAGTCACAGAAATTATAGACGTATCAACCCTTGAAATTCCCTGATTGCTAATTTTAGCTTAATCCTCTGAAAAGGCGGCATTATTCTTGGACCTGAAGAGCAGAGCAGCACACTGTTGTGTGCGCTTTCCCTGTTCTCCACGTACATAGGCAAAAAAAATAAAAAAAACCTAACAATTATGGATCCATATCATTGTTCACACGGGAGAGGGCACCCACTGTCAGTTGCTCTAGCTCTTACCATGCCAGGTCTCAACATCTTCCAAAGAGTTAGTTCACATTCAGCTGCTTCATTCCCATTACTGCATGCAAATGCATCCCAAAATATTACCATTATGGGGCTTTTTTTATTATTATTATACAAGTGCTTTGTGATAGCAAACACCAAAGCACCCCTGTGCAAATCCCACATGGGATTACTTTCTCATGGGTCTGACCAGCATCTGTTCTCCTGCTCTAGATATTGATGAATGCTCCAGTGGCAAAGCTCTTTGCTCTTACAACCGCAGATGTGTCAACACGTTTGGGAGTTATTATTGCAAGTGTCAGCTTGGATATGAACTGAAATATGTCAATGGCCATTACAACTGTGTAGGTAAGATTTAGCCCATTGATTTTTATTCTTTATTTCCTTTTCATTCTCACACCAAGCACTTTTCCTTTCATTACTTTAAGTAGTTTGATCTAGTCTGGGGATACAAGCTCAGGAAATGGATAAAAGTTATTGCTAAGAATATTCTTTGTGACACTTTGAAATTTTCTCTGGATCGTTTCTGTAGCGTGGTGAAAGACCTAATCATCAGCACTTGAAAATTAAACTGTCTTATTGCACCCAGCCACCTCTAGGCACTGTTTTCTAAAGATGTGCAATGGCTAACACCATGGAAAAAAGAGATGTACATGTTACCAACAGTTGACTATAAGGAAGTGCAAGTTTTGATATGAGTTTATTTGAAGAGTAATTTTTTCTGTCTTCTCAATTTTCTACTTGTGATGGAAAAGCAAATTTTCCCCTCTTTTGTAGATAGAAAATCAGCCATGTGAATCAAGTTGCTACATTACTATGTAAAGAGTTGTTTGAATGGACAGTACAGAACCTCAAAAAAAAAAAAAGAAAAAGCTGTAGGAAAACGGTAGTTTTTCATTACTTTTCAGGTTTCTTTTGAATATCTAAGATCCTGTGAAGCAAAAATAAATATGAGCAAAAAGTTATTTTAATATGGTTCAGATGGTAAAACAAATGTCAAAACAACCTCACTCCTGTTTCAACACATTAGCTAAATGGTGGAAGAGGAGCAAAGTATAAATTAATCCAGGAGCCCCTGAACTCTGTTGGTCAAGCAATCCGCTACCTGAGGGGCTGAAAGCATGAGCTGGATCTATAACAAGTTCATACAAAAGAAAATCAATATTTTTTGTTTCATTTGTCTGAGGTGAGAAGTCAAGGTGGGAAGGAGCTTTTGAAGGCTGAAAATTGAATTTCCTGTCAAATTCCTGGGAATTTTTAAAGAGAAAAAAATACATATTCTCTTTCATACCAAATGTGTACATGCGGAGAAAAATAGAAATGCCTGAATAGTCAAGATTCATCTGCAAACAAATCTTGCAAACAGTCTGCAATCCTGAATCTCACTCTCAAATATGCCATTTCTTTGAGCAAGGCTTTCTTCTGCTTGTCTCCTACTTGACCTGCATTATGCAGAAAACTTGTTCCCAACATTGAATAAATTTATGTAAAACAAAAATGGTGCAAAAATTTGTGCAACAACTTGGCTCCCTCCTGTGGGAGAAATCAGAAAAATCTTGTGATGTAGGAAAATCAAATGAGAAAGGAGAATTTTGCTTCTACTTTGATCAGTTACTTATACTTTTTTTTATTATACTTTTTTTTTTCACATAGCATCATATGTATGCCTGGAATGTTAGAGATAGAAGATCTCAAGACCTCATCCTGCCTAATGTTACTTTCAATTAATTTTGTCTAGTGTGAGTGAAAGTGAGAGGCAAATATGATGATTATTTTTTTTTTGTTTGGTTGCTTTTGGGGTTTTTGTTTGTTTGTTTTTTCATTTATATCACTCTTACTCTCTTGGTGCCTTTTGTATTTTTGTTACTACAACAGCATGTACAACCTACAATCTGAATGCTGTTCTCATTCACAAAATCAGTAAAATTCATTTTGTTTTTCTGGGCTGCTCTTCACCTTTCATGGATACATAGGCAGTTGTGCAACTGCAGCTGAACTCGAGCAATCTTTCCTCACGGTCCCTGGTCTAACAGCAGAGCCTACACTATCTGAAAACAGATAACAGGCACAGGCAGGTTGTCGTGAAGCTTAGATTTTAATGCAGTTTTCACTAAAGCATTTATATCTTTCC